GCAGCTTTCTGCTCTAGCACGACTTCAAAAGGCTGCCGAGTGACTGTTCTAAGAATACTTGGTTGTAGATGACTGAAGAAATGCACAAGGCATCCTCCTGCGACTCAGTGCCCCATTAGCACGAGGGAAACGCTGACCCCACCCCTCCCAGCACCTTTAATAAAGCAACGACTGGTAATGGCATGACCTAGGTAGATATGGGCAATTGGAAGGTTGAGCCTTTAGCGAGCAACGCGGGGGTCGGGGAGGGGGTGGGAAAAGAAGGGAGAGATCTTGGCGGTTAAACAACACCCTGCTGCAAGAGAGCCAATGAATTAAGAATTTGTTGAAACGACCTAAATAATGCATAAATTTTTAAAAAATCAACTGGAGATGGGTGACCGATTGGGCTGATTCCAGAGGCGTGAGTCCCCGGTTGTTGCAAAAAAAAAAAAAAAAAAAAATGCCCGAGGCGAGGAGGTACCAGACCCGGGCGTGAAGTAGCAACCCAGAGTGCTCAGCAAACACTTTTTTCTGGAATGGATCTGGAGCGCGCTGAGCGGATCCGCATACCGTGCGAATGCCTCTGCGGGTTCACCCACACGCCGCCTCTTCTCGCTGGTGGCACCTGGTCGGCGCTCGCAGCGCTCCTGGGAAGAAACTGCGCTGCGAACTTCCCGGCCTCGGAGCCCTGCAGCTTGGCAAGCCGCACTGCCGCGCCAGCCGCCGCGGGGAGGCTGGTATTCAACCTCCCCGCCGCCCCCTCCCCCCCCGCCGCGGTAAAAGTTTGCTCCCTATTCGCCGCTCCCCCCTCCACCTCCGCCCTCCGGCTGGAGGACCACAGAGGAGTTCGTGGGTCCTCTGTGCACAAACACACCCACCAACAAAAGAAAGCCCATTAAATCTTCTCTCCTGTGAACTCGCGCCCCAGCGGATACCTCTTTGAACTGACCCCCGCCTCCGCAGCCCCCGCAGCCCCCGCAGCCCCCTCGCTGTCTGGGGCGCGCCCGGCCCTCCCGGGCTCACTCCTTCCCTCCCGGCTGCGCACTTTTGCAGCGCGCTTGGTCTTTGATGTTTCTTTACATTATGGCAGAGCAGCCACACTCTCTTCCCGGGCGCGGGGCTTTGTGTAACAGAACTGACATTTGGCCTTGATACCTGTATCTCTTGGTGATTGCAACAAATTTCTAAAATAAATATTGTACTTTGATCTCCCGGCATTGCATTTTTAATGGACGCTTCGAACATTACTTCATTAAGAATAAGTTTTTCAGGAGCCCGACTGCAAAGGGAGGGAAGCTAAACAGCAGCTCGTAAAAGTCTCTCTCCAAACTTCAGCTCGTGCTTGGAAGGGCTACAATCCTGGCGGGTTTTCACAAATGGAGGTGAGGCCGACAGCAAGGACTTAGAAGAGTCAAGAGAGGGCCTACTGTGCGCCCCACCGCCCTAAAGACTTTACTTATATTACCTCTTTTAAGCGTACAAACACTCCACAAGATGAGCATTACTATCACCCCCATTTTACCAGTTGGGAAACTGAGGCACAAAGAGGTTGTGTAACTTGCTTGCCAAGGTCACCAACTAAAAAGCGTCAACTAGAAAATCTGGGTTCAGATTTTCTGAGTCCGACCTCTTAACCACCAAGCACTACTCCTTTTCGTCTCCTGGCCACTGGTGGTGGTTTCACTGGCTAATGGGGGCATGTTGGAGGGAAAAGTTCTCTCCTATAACAACTACGCAGATGTGAACTGGCTTTTCTTGCGTTTGTGTTAAAATAGAGAACATATTCGGCAAATGTTTCCAGCCTGTTTGGCCCAGCCTGGCCCGACCCTCGGGGATGGCGGGATTTGAAGAGCTCAAAGGAGCGGCAAAGGAAGCACGCTAAGGTACCAGACCCGCTTGGACAGTTCGGAGGTGTGCCTGCGCGCGCGTGCGCCACGGAACTCCCTGGCCTCAGGCTGGCATCTGGGAAAGGGCGCGTTCGAGTGCCAGGCTTCACCCGCACTCGACCCAGGGATGGGGCGTGGAAGGGGATAGGATTGCCAGGCCTCGGAGCAAAACTTTAAGTCCCCTCCCTTCCCCGCTTCCAGAGCACCCGGACCTCATCTTCAGGAGCCTTGGCCGAGCGAGCTGTGTGGTCACTGCTCATCGTTCCTGGGGTTACACCTTGGGGGTGGGGTATGCCTGTGAACTACTCCTAGCATTTGGGCGTCATGCGGCCCATTCCTCTTCAGCAGGATGTTTCTATTTCTCTGGCAGATCCTGGGCATGTGGAAATATGGGCCTGGTGGCGTAGCATCCCGACCCCTGATGGGAATGCAGAGGGCACCAAGATACAGCTCAGTTTCCGAATCAGAGGCGGGTTGGGGTTGAGGTTGGGTTGACCGCTGGCGCCGCACGGCGCTCTGGGCCACACGGCCCGTCCTCTCAAGTGAGTCCCGGCCACGGTGCGGTCTCCAGAAGGCCGGACGCAACATGGCTCGAAGAGCCCCGCATAGCCGGCGGCCTCGGAGAGCGGAGACCGTGCCTGCGGGGAGGCCCGGCGTGGAACGGGGTCCACCAAGCCCAGGCGGCCCACTCGGTTGCTCGGCCACTTGAGCGGCGGCCGCCGGCGGGAGGCCTCAGCGGCCCTTCCGGCCCCTAATCCCCTTCAGTGCCAGGAGGACCCCGCGGCGCCACGCCCGCCTCTTCCTTCTCCCCGGCCCGACCCTCCCGGGTGAGGCGATCCCGGCGTTCGCACCGACCCGGCGAGACGCGCCTGGCGTCCTGGCCAGACCGAAGCAGGTGGCCGACCGGCCCTCCGCGGTCAGGCATACGGGCCGGCGAGGGTTCGGGGTGAGAGTTTCCCTGACCCGGGGCGCACGCCACACGCCTGAACTTTCTTTTCTTTCCAAAGGTGACGGGAACAACAGTTTTTATTGACTTTTCTTTCCAGTTAAAGGGCCTTCCTCTTACTGTGATGTGGTTTGTTCAAAACAAAAGGTTTCCTCGACTGCGCCTTACTTCTTCCAAGTAGTTCCCTGGCAGGTATGTGTGGCTTGCAAAGAGCGCGCACTCGCTGGACGGGGTTAGAGAGAGAGATTGCTAGCACTGACGGGGGTTTCGGGGGCCTAATAGCCGTCAGCCGCCTGACCGGCCGTCCGCGGCGTCCAGGGGGCCAGCCTGAAGAGAGAAGAGCGACGTCACACTTTTTTCCTCTGGTGTATATTACGGTTTGCTCTGGGTGTCCTGCCAAGCCTAGCTTTGGTGGTAGGCGCGGTACGGGTGTTTTTCCCAGGCTCACTATTTGCAAAAGTTGTGGCCGGAGAAAACTTCCAGGTCGCCAGCAGGAATGTCACAAGAGAGCCACAGTGGCTTGTCAGGCAGGCGGCCCCGGAGCGTGCGCGCCACCCACCGCCGCCATGGGCGGCCGCCCGGCCCCGCCCCGGGTCACAGCCCTGCCCGCAGCTCCACCGCGGCGGGCGGGGGGGGGCGGCAGGCGGCCCGCAGGGCGAGGTGCGTCCCACGCCCCGCCCCGGGAATTCCCTCGGGTCCGCGGTGTGCGCGGGCCGCTGCGTGTGCCGTTCCCGTGTGGGGTGTGTAAGTACGGGGGGAGGGGAGAATTACCCTCATCTCAAAGTCCCGCGCCTGGAAGCCAAAGGCAGATTTCTCTGGAGATAACAAAGACACTTTGTCACTTCGGGCGCTGCCTCGGTGCAAATCTTTAATTGCAAGGGAGTTGCGGGGGAGTGGGGGGGGGAGGATCGAGTGTCTCCAGCAACCCAAGCGCGGGTCTCCAGGCGGCAAGGCCCCCTTTGATCAGGAAAATCCAATTATTTGTGTATATACATTTCCCACATAGTGATTACTTCATTAATTGTCCCGCCTTTATCTCCTCCCTTCCCATCCCCCCTAATAATCAGTTCTTTTATCCCGACCAACAAACACACCATAGGAGCTTTGTGGATTCAAAGGATTTGCTTTCGCTTCTGAAAGAGCCGCTATTCTTTGATGATTGGGTAGCGGCAAACTTCAAAGCCATAAATCTTCCCTCTGACTGGCTGGCGGCCCAGCAAAGTCCTTATCAAATTCTTGGAGGTGATCCTGAAGCGCTCAGACCGCGCGCGGGGCGAGCGAGCGGGGTGCGACGAGGGGCGCTGGAGGGGAGGGCCCCGGAGCGCAGAGAGGGCGCCGGGGAGGGACGCTGGGCGGCCGTTGGTCCTCGCCTTCGGGTCTCCATGCCTCGGCAGCGCCCTGCTCCGCAGCCAACGGCCCGCAAGCTGTAGCTATGGCTGCCGTGGCCGTCCTCCGGAACGACTCTCTGCAGGCCTTCCTCCAGGTCAGGTCTGGGCTCGGAGGCAGGGAGGGAAAGGTGGGAAGGGTCGCGTCCGGATCGATCCTGGTCCTCTGGGCACCCTGAATCTCAAAGGGACCCCTGCTCGGGGGATGCCGCTAGAGTCAGACCGAAGGGTGCCCACGTCAACTTCGCACCTAACCTTGGTGTCTAGAGTGTGGCCTTGGGGGGAGGGACGCGCGGATCCGGGGGTTGTTGGGACTTGCGCGTCTGGCAGAGAACAGGGCCCGAGCCCACCCTGTTGGGCCCTCCCGCTGACTTTCAGCCTGGGGTGGGCGGAGGAGGAGCGCGAGAGTAGCGTGGAAAGAGCTTAAAAGATGGGAGGGAGGGCGGATGGGCAGCTGGGCTGTGGGTGTTTCCACACCCTTTCTGACCGCGGAGCCGGGAGCGGCCCGTCGGATCCCTCTCCCCTCCCACCTTGTGCCTGCTTTCTCTGAGTCTGGATGGCGTCTCTTTGCACCAAGTAGTTTCACGGGAAGCGCTCACGCGCTCCGCGTTCAGGTAGCGCAGGCACCAAAAGTTAACCGTACTGGTGGGTGCGTGCGTGGGGTGCGGTGGCGGGGGAGGGACACCGGGACGGGAGAGGGGCGGCGGTACAATAGCTGGCGTGGGGGTGGCGGGCCGGCCCGGAGACAGCGCTTGGAGCGCTAACCTTTTGTCTCTTCTCCGCCCTCCCCCGCCGCCGCCCATGCAGGACCGCACCCCCAGCGCCTCCCCGGACCTGGGCAAGCACTCGCCCCTGGCGCTGCTAGCCGCCACCTGTAGCCGCATCGGCCAGCCCGGAGCCGCTGCGCCCCCGGACTTCCTGCAGGTGCCCTACGACCCCGCGCTGGGCTCGCCCTCCAGGCTCTTTCACCCTTGGACCGCAGACATGCCGGCGCACTCACCGGGCGCGCTGCCGCCCCCGCACCCCAGCCTGGGCCTGACGCCGCAGAAAACGCACCTGCAGCCGTCCTTCGGGGCGGCGCACGAGCTGCCGCTCACACCCCCTGCCGACCCCTCGTATCCCTACGAGTTCTCACCGGTCAAGATGCTGCCCTCGAGCATGGCGGCGCTGCCCGCCAGCTGCGCGCCTGCCTACGTGCCCTACCCTGCACAGGCCGCGCTGCCTCCCGGCTACTCCAACTTGCTGCCCCCGCCGCCCCCGCCCCCGCCGCCCACGTGCCGCCAGCTGTCCCCCAACCCGGCCCCCGACGACCTCCCTTGGTGGAGTATCCCGCAGGCGGGCACCGGTCCGGGGACTTCCGGGGTCCCGGGGGGCAGCCTCGCCGGCGCCTGTGCCGGGGGCCCCCACGCACCCCGCTTCCCCGCCTCGGCGGCCGCCGCTGCCGCCGCAGCCGCCGCGGCCCTGCAGCGGGGCCTGGTGTTGGGCCCGTCGGACTTTGCGCAGTACCAGAGCCAGATCGCTGCGCTGCTGCAGACCAAGGCCCCCCTGGCGGCCACGGCCAGGAGGTGCCGCCGCTGCCGCTGCCCCAACTGCCAGGCGGCTGGCGGCGCCCCCGAGGCAGAGCCGGGCAAGAAGAAGCAGCACGTGTGCCACGTGCCGGGCTGCGGCAAGGTGTACGGCAAGACGTCGCACCTGAAGGCGCACCTGCGCTGGCACACAGGCGAGCGGCCCTTCGTGTGCAACTGGCTCTTCTGCGGCAAGAGCTTCACGCGCTCGGACGAGCTGCAGCGGCACCTGCGGACTCACACGGGCGAGAAGCGCTTCGCCTGCCCGGAGTGCGGCAAGCGCTTCATGCGCAGCGACCACCTCGCCAAACATGTCAAGACGCACCAGAATAAGAAGTTCAAAGTTGCTGAGGCCGGGGTCAAACGGGAAGACCCGCGGGACCTGTGAGCCCACGCCGGGGCAACTCGAGGCCTCTCCCGCCTCGGACTCCGGTCCCAGCACCTCTTCCGGGAGCTTCCGGGGCTCTGTGGGCACCTGGCCGAGGGAGGACCCAACAGGCACTTGCGTCTTCCTGCTGCCGGTCTCCCAAAGGCTCCCAGCTTCCCTGGCCCGGCCTGCGGACAGGGACCCTGTGCCCAGGAGAAGCAGGGGAGGTAGGGTTGGGAGCTGGGCGCCATGCAAGGGCGGTTTCGAGCTCTGAACCATTCCCACCGTCTGGGAGATCTGCAGTTTTGGGGAACCACACTGGGCTGGCCTTGTATATAGGAAGCACTGCTGAATTAAAGCAGAAGGACCTTGGGAGATTTGAAATAGTGCTCAGTTTGGGGGGAGGGGGGTTGTTTTGGTTTGTTTTGGTTTTTTTGCTAGGACCGGGCCGGGCTTTGTACAGGTTATTTAAATAGCTTTGTTAAAGAATTATTATAATAATTATAACATTAATAAAAATGTTACTTTTGTCCTCAGCTCCATGAAGAGCTACAGCATGAAATGTCTCTGTAAAGCAATCAGCAGTTGCAGCCTGAAAATAAATACGTTAACTCCGGGGTCACCTCGGGACCCGGCTGAGCCAGTCTCATTTGATCTTTTCTTCTTGGGGAGGCTTTCTAAAGCGGTCAGGTTTCGCCACGAAGACGGTTCCTGTAGGCTGCCTGTATGGAGGTTTCTTTGGTTTGGAAGGGTCTGGGCAAGTGTGTTGGGTGCATGGACGGAGGAAGGAGGGCAGGGTCAGATTTGTGATAAAGAGGATAGATCATGCGGCCTTAGGACTTGAGCAGAGACTGTCGAGCATCTCTTAAAAGTTTGATACCTGCTGCACATACAGTGCACGTTCTTTTATCTGGCGAATTCCCTGTGGCTTTCCATTTGGTGGTAATGTAGGGACAGAGGTCACACTAGAGCTTTCCTTCCTCCTGGTAGCGGGTTATGCTGGTGTCTGGAGAGGAACTGTATGTAGACCCAAGGATCTGTTCACAGATGAGATTTGGGAGAGTTACAGAGAAACGGGGGGGTGGGCGGGGGCTCCTTCAAGGTTGGTCTTTGCGGGGGAAGAGCCCTCACCTCAGCCCCGTTGTCTGGCTTGTTCTTAATCATCGCGCTGTGAAAATCTTGCTTCACAATAGCCGCTTAGGGATTTCTGGCCTGGCCTGGAAGTTTAGTTCCATTTTGTATCTTGGGATTTTATTTTTTTTAATCATTGAAGTAGACCAATATTTGCTCAGGGAGGAGCCAGGAATACTCATATCTAGGTTTCTCGCCTGTCTCTAAAAAAGTTTACAGTTGTTTTTTCAAGTGTCTCGACTCAACTGGCTCCTTGATGTTTGCTAGTATTTGAGTTTTTAAACCTGAAACTGAAATCTTAATCTTCTGATTTAGAATTATCAAAGAAAGAAAATTATCAAAGAACATTTGTTAATATGTTAAGGTAGCATCATTAATGCCAGATTTCAGTGGAACTGAATAGTCTTTTCATGGTAGCCGAAGTGTATATAAATTGATAGGATTTCACAAACTGTTGTTACCTTTCCTTTTGTTTGAAGTCAAACCTAGTGGTAAGTTCTTAAGAGCTAGGAGGGTTGTGCTTGAGACTTACAGAATTAAGAAAAACACAAACATCAACATAACAGAGATGAAATTACTTTTATATTCCTAAGAAATAGCATTTTACTCTAACTTGAGACAAGGTAGTGAAAGAGAATTAGAGTCATTGTGGAGATATGCCTTAGAACCAGTTGCTCTCATTAGAGATTTTGGAACTATGAAATGACAGATTGGAATGTGAGTCTTCAGAGGTCTTTACCTGGGAAGGGCAGTTTGGTTAGCTAAATTTCCAAGGGTGTGATGGTTTTGCAAGCAATAGTAATAAGAAAGTTGCTACACAGTTACACTAATATGCATCTAAGTGTGTAATCTTAATCTAAATCAAGATTCTTGAGAATCATTTCTATGAAGAGTTACAGAAACTCACATCGAAGCCATGCCCTGGGATGGACTTCAGAGCCAGGAAAGATTTTTTGGCAGATAGTAGGGAAAGAGAAATCCTGGTAGAGTGGAAAGACCTAAGGGCTTCTACTCAGAAAAGTTGAAGTGATTCTCTCATTCCAAAGAGAATGCCCTTGGTGGAAAAAGAAAAGTGGCAAGTTTGAAATGAGTCTGCTAGCTGTTATTGACAGCCATGATCATCTAGTATCTAAACAGATAAAGTGTTGAAGATAAAGTTTCCCTGTAAGTTTATCTTTATGATTGTTAAGAGAAGAGCTAGATAAAATACATGGAATTTATCTAAAAATAGGATATATGTAATATTTAAAAGCAGAGCAGTCATTTGATGACAAAGTAACTTTCTTATGTTTTTACTTAATTAAATCTGCAAACTTCTGTACAGTTTCTAGGCTAACTTGGTACAGCTGAAAGACTGTTCCTTGTGCCACTTCAAATTTGTGTTCCAATTACTTTAGAGCAAATTATCCAAGTGGAAGCCAGGAAGCCGCAATGATATGATATTATTATCCAAGTGTAGGAAACCATTTCATGTTTATACTGAAAAATAAGCTAATAAATCAGAAATAGAAATTTGACAGTGCAGAAATGTATTAAATTTTATAAGCTGTTAAAATTTGAACTGCTACCGCATGCTGTTTCATAAAACTACAACTGATACCACTTAGAACTTTAAAAAGTATTTAAAATAAATGAATATGCCAGAAATAATATGTATAAGTGATGTATAATTAAGCAGTTAGCAGAAAATTCAATAAAATTCAAGTTAAAAGTTCAGAAACATTGCTATTAAATGTAAACTAAAATTTATTTTTTATTTAGAGTTTTGCTAACATCAAAAAAAGAAAGTTTAATCTACCAGCTGTATTCAAGGCTTAAAGACCTGAGCACCCAATTCAATTAAGTTTTAAAAACTAATTGAAGAAAATATGTTAATGATGGTCCCAAGTACATTTTTAAAGTAACTTTTAGTAGCATGCAAAAATATAACAAAGTATCATATTTTAGAAAATTCTAAAATTAGTGTGATATGATTATTTTAAATTTAACCCTCAATTGATAACTGAACCATTTTGATCAAGAACTTAGAAACATGGAGAAATTGAGTTAGCAATTATTTAGGTAACTTGGAATTGTGTGTTCCTGAACTTGTTAACAATGCTCCATAGTTTTCTCAAGAGAAAATTGTGCAAATTTACCTTTAGCTGACCACTAATCTGTAATAGTTCTGGTGATGAGTGGAAGTGAATTATGTTAAAGAAAATACAACTGTATCATTTACTGTATTAGTGTAGTTTCAGTTCGAATTTGAATCTTATAACCATATTGTGTATATTGTTTTAAATTATTTTGCTATAAGTCAATCTAACAAGACATACCAATTTAGAAACTAATCTTGATGAGCATTCTTCTTGCAGAAACCTATTTGAAACAATGATATTTGTAGAAAAGGCGGTTTTTCACCCTGATTTGCACTGTTTCTGTTCTAATTCTGTGGGGTTTTAAGAAATCCATTTAACACTGCACCTTTAGTGTTTCCCATTTATTTGGGTTCTGCCATGAGAGTTTCACAGAATGTTATGATAGCGGTAACAATAACTTCAAATTCATGTAAACACCTAGTAAGCTGTTTAGGGCTCTAAAATGGCAAACCACTTTTATTTGCCTTAGCTCTTCACATTAAATATTGATAAGTTGAAGTAAATTGACGATGTCTCACTGGGAAATAATCTCATGTTGTGAAATCAAATTCAACCCTCAAGCTCTGTTTTTCTAGTAAACGGAATGATGGTTTGCTAATATCCCAAATTGAGGGCTACTCAAAACAAGTAATATTAATGTTCTATCAGATATCATTACCTACCTCTGGTTTGCATGATAGAGGGGAACTTTAAAAGAGTACGAAACCAAGGGAAGCTTTGAAATATGGATATGTGCCGGCATAGTTTGACGCACCAGGAAAAAATAAGGAAAAAATTTAGATAGAAAGATGTATGATGAAAATGAAATCTATATTTAGATTAATACACCAAAAGGACACATTTCATTATTAGGCACCATAATGGTAACCTGATTGATGTGGTATCCAATATACATAAACAGTACACTTTTCTCTGGTGATGTTCAGACTCAACACATTTTTGCATAAAGATCTTTGTGTCAATTGCTCCTCCCTTGATTGTTTTTAAAGAATCTTCAGTGTTTCAAATTAGTTTATGGACATTGTAAAATGGCTCACATAATGTTCCTTACTATAACGAATAAGTTATACTGTTCAACAAAGATGTAATCAAATAGCTTATGGGCCATCACAACTTTTTTCAGTAGTTTCAGTTTTACTATTACAACTTACTACCAATTGTAGATTTGCATGTGATGATTGATATAGTATATATTTCCATGCTGACATTTTGATGACTTCCCTTCCTAGACTTTATATACTTTTCCTTCCATGCCTTTAGTGATTATGCTGAAGCATAATCCCCAGTGGGGTATTTGACACTTAATTCTTAATTTAGTCCATGCATGTGAACTGCAGTAGTTTCTGCACAACACATAATAAACCAGATTAACTAATATATTTTGGTTGTGTACCTAATACCAAAATTCAAGTCAGGGGAAATAAATCAAGTTCCTAGTTTGATATATGGAAAATCTGCAGCTTTCATTTTTCAAAAGTTGTTTCAGCGTTATGAAGATTCAGGCTGCCTATTTATGAAGTGGGAGGGTTTTTTACTTCAAAATTATTCATCTAATTTTTTTCATTGCTTGTCAAAATTCTAACATCAAAAAATATACTAAAATCACCCAAAGTCTAAGGCAGTAGCTATATGTTACCTGACTTTTTAATAAAAAGTTAAACCATTCAGTCATACGGGCGCTTTCTAATGATTTTGTGTTTAGTGTATTCTAAAACACAGATGGAAAACATCTGGCCCTCAGCTTAATTTCATCCAATTCACAAGGCAAATATCAAAGCTGAATCCTCATTTATGCTTATGATGGGGAAAATGCGTCCTAATTTAAAAAGTATTTGGTGGCAATTTCCTAAAGTCTGCATAAGGTGTCATGAAAGCTTATTTCTCTTATTTCTATCTTTGTGAGTTTTATTCTTACGTTCTGTATTCTGTTTTCTTTTTCCATTCTGTATGCCTCTTGACTTGTGGAGGTCATGTCTTCTATAACCCATGTTCATCTCTAGCATGGAAATTCAGTTTGTGTCTTGTGTCTCTCTGTCTTTGCTGAAAGTATTTACGCACATTATCTGACTTTGCTGCCTATAATGCAGAACTTGACAGGATTCCAAACTGTAGTTCTTTTAAATCTGTTGTATTTTTAATAGCCACTTACATTCCTTGGCCTAAATTTTACATGTAAGTGAATTAAACTTACAGTTCTATTTGTAGATTCACGTTTTATTTATGTAGTACATGTCTGATGTTTTTTACTGTGGCTTTGTGAACATCAGTGAGAAAAATA